CCAAAAGTTTAGTTTTAAATGTAGATTCAAATTTGTTTAACTGTAGTAAATACACTCAAACTTATTGTTGTGCTTCTGGCACAGAATCTCTAATATAAAAGCGTTTGGTTTTGCTGGGGAGGAAGGAAGGGAGGGCTACAAAATTGCATCAGATGTCTTTAGAGGAGCAGCTCCTTTAGTTATAAAGAAGCAATTTGCCTAAGTGAGATTTACATAGATATTTGCAGACAGAAGCTTAAAGGAAATGTTTAGGGTCATAACAAGTATGGAGATGATTTCATTGGATCCACAGGTAAAAGTTCCTTATTTTTGCCTTAACTCAGGAGAGAAGGCATTACTTATTGTCTCCTTCTCTGACTTTGAATAAGAGTTTGGTGAATGTTGTCAAATGGATATAAAAATAAAATAAAGCCATAAAACTTTGGGTTGTGTTATTTTGCCTGACTTGTAGTCTGGCAACTGATGTAGAATTTTTCAGGCTAGTTTATTAAATCTCTATCACTTTGGACTTTTCCTCCTCACATTCTGCTAATGACTATAACACAATTTAGGCAAAGAGGAGAGAAGGGAAGACCTTATTTTGTCTCTTACTAGCTACACGTTTATTGTAAAGATACAGTAAGCTATTGATCTTTACTATTTACTAGGAAAAATAGCCTAACTTCAGACATATCTACAATTCTAGTTGTCCTTTTATGACACACTGTCAGTCATTTTCTAAAGAAAGATTTTGACAAGTTTTGTCACTTAGACTATATTTTTTAACCTGCAAAAGCATATAGAATTATCTCATAAACTAAACTGAGTACATTGCACCAAGTGCAATATTCTCAAGATATTGTCTATGCTCAAGAAAAAACCACGAGGTCAAGTTTTCTTTGAACGTGAGCCTGCTTCTGTGCTACGCATAATGCAGTATAGACAACCCCCTCTCTTGCTTCTTGCTGTTCTATTAGTAGACGTATTTGATGGAAAGTTAGGAGAACTGCTTTGAGACTGGCCCTCTATTTTAGAAAAACTTGGCTAGAAATGGGAATGATTTTGTAAGATTTCTGAAAGATAATCAAACTTGCTCTTTCTTGGCGTAGCCTGACTGCCTTGTGCATCATCTTGACTTTTAAATGACTTGAGAATCTGTCTGATTTCTAATGTGGCTGTTAATCTGTGTATATGTATTCACATGTGTACATCTATATCATATATGAACGTATATACAAACTTTTCCCACCCTTAACGTTCTCATTATTTTATTTGATATTATTTTCCTTTCCTGTTCACATAATTTTCCCTTTGAAATTCAGAATAAGCAAAGAATCAAATATGTTTTTTTTTTCCTGGGTTCTGTTCTCGTGATCTTATATCAAATATTGTTAAGCCAAAAGGAAGTTTAGGTCCTGCACCTAATAGACATCTACATTTATATCACTGTAGCACAGTTTAAGTTGGCAGAGTTTGTTATAATTTAATTTTTTAAGTACAGTGAATTTTTTCTTCATAGTATATCAACTGATCATCTATCATCAAATCCACATAGCAAATCAACAATAGTCATCTTAATTAACACATGGTAAACTAAGAAGAAAGCTTTTGTTTGTGGGCATGTGCATGATCTGCTTTCAGCCTTCTCTACAAAACATCACATCATGCCTCTCATTCCACAACGCTGCAGTAGGGTTAAATAGTTCTTTGTAGCACTTCAAACTTTGACTGAATTTGTGCTAAAAATAACAATAATAATAAATCCTTTTCTAAGTGAAAGAATATAATAAAGAATTTTAAGAAAGATTCAGAAATTAAGTTTCGATGTGATACTGAAATTATTTTAACTCTTCTCTCAGAAAAGGAAAAATACAAATACATGGTGAATTTGATTTCAGTGTAAATGATTTCACAAGACAATCTTCATTTCTGCAGCTGTCAAACTATAGCTTGTGTTTCTAGCTCTGTATTCATAAAGACACCTTCTTGCCAATGGAGAAAATTATGCAAAATTCTGAATAACATAAGATGGATTTTTCAGTTTTACAGAAGAAGATCCCAGAGGACTGGTTGTGTTAGAACTATACATATTAACAAACTGATCTTCTGCCAGTAATATGATGAGAATTTTACTTCAATGCCAGGACTTTCTTTTTTGTGATTATTTAATTTTGTACATTTCAATGTGTTTTTATTCCTAAGGTCTGGGAATTGGGAACATGTTTTATGTTTTTTATGAAGATGGAATCAAAGTCATACAGCCAGTGGAATGTGAATTTCAGAGACATATTAAGCCTAGTGAAAAACTCCTCGGTTTTCAGGCAAGTTGTTTTTTATTTTTATTTTTTAACTTGTTTTTAATTTCCTGGTAATATTTTTTCAAGTGTAGTTTTCCTTTAATTAAGAAATGGTAGTTTCATGTTACCTGTTTAATAAATTCAGACATGTCTTCCCAATTAATATATAGCTTAAAATGTTGGACTCAAAATTTACTGTGTCTTTGGTTAAGTTCAAATTTTCAACCTTTTTTTTTGATTGAATATTTTCCTTCTGCTTTTTTTTTTTTTTTTTTTTTGTACTCTTCTTCTTTCTCTCACTTTCTCTCTCTTCTCTCTCTCTCCTTCTCTCTCTCTCTTCTTCATAATTTTTCCTTAACAGCACTCTATCTTCTCCATCTTCTTGTCGTTATTTCCCTCCATCCCACCTCTTTTTAGCTGCATTTATGTAGATTTCTGTGAGTCACATTCTCTCTGTTAAATAAAGGGACAGTAGTCACTGTTGTTAATGGTTTCTTTTTCTCCACTGGATGTTTGTTTATATCGTTCAACCAAGTCTTTTGATGTCTGTATTAAACTCCTGGTTATCATAAGGCAACTCCCTATCCTCATGAACATGCTTAGAGCTCCACTGGAGTTAGTAGGGACAGTTGGCACTTGGACTCCCACTTACAGTTAGTATAGTTTCAATAATTTTACAGCTGATATCATCAAACTCTGTGCACTTATGAAGTGTTTCCATGTGTATTACTATATGAAAGCATTTTCCATTTCTGTTTGGTTATTTTTTGCTTTTTATTTCTTCCCTGCTAATCAAATAATTAACTGACATGATACATGCTCTCAAACCAACTTGGGACCAGTCACTGTATTCACTTTTTCTCATTTGAATTTAAATGAATGACCTTGAAATGAGAAAAAAAAAAAGGTGTGTAATAACCCATAACTGCACAGTTTTTTTGGCTAATACCTAAAACACTGAAGTAGCAGCAGAGCTGTCTCAATGGCTTTTGCCTCTTCAGTTATCATTATTGATGTCAAAGACTGCTGTATTCAACAGCAAGATTTATTTTAGTGTGAATAATTATACTTTGAACTGCTAATCATACCTTGGTTTTAGCAGTTAAAGTGAAATCAGGTTGACATAGCCAAAAAAAAAAAAAAAAAAAAAAAAAGCCAAAGAGCTTTTTTATGGCTGTTGAATTTAAAAGCTGATTATTTAAGAAGTCTGCTAAGATTTTATTGGTCTGAAGTGCGGCCCAGAGTGTAAGTGTATTTTTATTGAAATGTGGTAATTATCAGGATGGATAGTAAGACTTCTTTCCGTTTTTGCTATTTTCAAACATAAATTAACATAGCAATTGATTCCCCCTTCTACTGCTATAAAAAAAAAAAGACCAGGAAAGCAGACTACTATACAGCTTTCATTTTTAAGTAGATGTAGATTTGTATTTTGAATATCTGGTATCTATGATACATTTATAGCCAGAAGTAAAACTCTGTGTTTGCATGCATACATCGCACCCGTTAATTTCAATAATATTTCCACTTATTCTTCTGAACACCAAAAACTTTTTCCTTTACCTATTACAAAAGTTGCTAGATCTTTTATTCTTGAGGAAATGTTTGGTATACATATTCTTAGATTCCTATATTCATAGATCTGCATAATGTAAAAGGAAAAAGGAAAAATATTGTTTTCCATTAAAAATAAATATATGTATATATGAAAATCTGAATTTAAAAGAATTCCCTGCATGTGCTGCTAATATTACTATATATAATACTACATTACTGAAAAATCTTGTTGACTATGAAGATTTAGATAACTATTGCTTCATTTGCAGAATATCTTTTCTTCTTCACCCTCTTTGGAAAATCTGTTTTTTGTTTGTTTGTTTTCTTTCTAAGTAAAGATAACAAAATAGTTCAGTTTTATCCCAAGGTCAAATTTTTATCAAGTTCATTTATTTATAGGAGCCCATGTTGTAAATTGTTCACTGTTAATTCTCTTTGACTGTCATACAACCTGAACTAATTAGAGGTGCTAGTTTATTTTTAGGTCACTTTTTTCAGCCTTTCCCGTCTATTCTGTCGCTAATAAAATCTTCATTGCTTGCCTCTTAAGAAATACCTACAGGAAATCATTTTTCCATTTCTTCACACTTTTCTCCATGACATGTTCAAGTGATTAGTAAAGGCCCAGTAGACCCATTTCACTGACAAATATTTGCTGAAGTCTAGGACCATACATAAATTTTGCAGTGCAGTTTAGGTTCATCAGTTGATATACACACAATACTGCAGTGTTCTTCCTCTGCTTTCCTGTTTACTTGTCAACGAAATAGAGTTACACTTAGCTGAACTGCTTTGAAAGAATTTGGTGTTTCTGCCTAGCTTCACATTGTACTGTGGATGAATGGTGTAGTAGTTAACCAAGCACTTATTTAGGTATGCTAATTTTGCTAAAAGTAAATATAATTTCTCAGTAATAATATACTTGAGAACTCTTATCTGAATATTTAATTGCCTCTTATGCAACTGTGTGTCAGTACAGTGAAGTGCTTTACTGTGTGACTAACATGGGAATAAATTAGGCTTTTACTGTGTTCGAAGTGAAGGAAAAGACTTGGTGTCTTGTAGGACCATCATAGTTCCCAGGAAGTTCTAAAGAGCTTCCTCCAGTCATTCCCAGAATTACTTAAATTACTGGAATTTTCTCAATAAGTACCAAATAAAAAATGAGTTTTATTGTACTTATACTGATAATAGGGATGGAAATAGACATGTTTCCATTTTCTTATGCAGGTTATCTGCTTTGACAGCTGTTAAACCTATTATCATATGGATGCCTCTAAACATGCTCCAAATACAATCATTCAGCTGTTAAGTGTCTTCTCATCCTGTTGTGTACGGGTCATTTTCCTCTATTATATATATATATATATATATATATATATATATATATATTCTCTATATAATATGCAACCTCTATTTATCTTCTGCTTGTATTATCTAAAGCCTTTAAATTCTTATTTTATGGAAAGATGTCTCCCTTCTCTTCTTCCAGTGAATCCCTATTTCTGGGGAGGAAAGGAAAGAAATTATAAAACGTCTTTGAAATCAGTCGGAAAATACCCTGATTTCTTGTTTATTCAGAGAAATAGAACATAAAGACCATATTTCAATAAACTGAAACTTTGAATGCCTGAAGTTGAATATCTGTGGAAGATGGAATCAAAATTTCATAATAATTGATTTTGGAAATGTAACAACATAGCAGAACAAAGTTACCAACGGACGTGACATTAACACATGCTAGTTATTACATAGAAATTTATTTTGATTACACTTAAGCAATGCAGGAAGCATACTAAGTGCAGGATTAGTAGAGGGAAAATAAAAGAGAGCGAAAGACAAAAAGGTCCTGAGTCTGATTTTTTTAAATAATTGAATAATAGTTATACTTGTCATGTACAATTTATTGTTGTAAGTTCATGTGGAATAGGTGATACATAAATTTAAGCCTTAATATGTGCACTCTCCTGAACTGTTGATGTCATTAGCTGATGAAGCATGGATAAACTTTTTACTATACTGTTCAAAGATCATGACTCAAATTCTCGTTAAAACACTGAGTACTCTTGTGCAATAAGTCTAGATTTATAGACAAGGAATTAGCACGCATAAATCTGCAAGAATGTGTTTTCTCCTGAGGATTTGTTGTCCCAGTCTACTTTGAGAAACTTTCTTTGAGGATTTATTTTTCTCCATCTGCTGGCTTGATGCTGGGCGAGTAACATTTTGATTAAAAAGTCTGGGGAGAAAAAAAAAAACAATGAAATAAATTAATATTTTATCAGATTTTAGCTTTTTCAGAGAGAATAAATTAGGAAAAAGCAAATTGCTTATACTTTAATTAGGAGAAGAAACTGTTGGTTTTATGCTTAGATTTTAAGGAGAAAATATTTTAATTCAACCACTGGGGAAATTAACATAGAGACTTACAGAAATCTGAGCTATCTAATCAGATAACTGTTAACTTTTCAAAAGTAAGATTTGAGTTCCATTGATAGAAGCTATTTCTGGAGTATCCAGATAAATGTCAGTTTGAATAACAAGGGAAAAAAATAACTACCTAAACCAATTAATGCTGGGAAAAACATTTTTTTTTTTCAGATGTGAGAATTTAGGCATATTTTTCACTGTCAGAACATAGTTTTGTTTTTACTTTAATTTTTTCCAGTTTGGGTGTAAAGAATTGGCTTTGGAATGTAAGAATTAATAACAGTATAAACAATATTCTAGAACCAGTAAGTATGATTACGCTTTTATGCTGCTGTAAATGATGTGACAGAAACTTGGGTTTCTCCAACAAGAGTTAGTGCTATTTTGCAGATACGTTGAACTTATCTCTGTAGAAATCATAATACCAAAAAAATGGGTTGAACTAAGGTCAGTTCCTAAGACAGAAAAATATGACGCGTGATAGAGTTAGGAATTCAAATACACATTATTTGAAGGAATTGCTCTTCAAGGAAGCAAGAGTACTATGTCATGCAATATTGAATTAGTTATTTGTTTAGATAAAAATTGAGCTGTGACAAAGCATATTTAGGGCAAATATAAAGCAGTTTGAGATCAGTGAAACAGCCTTCCAAGTGAAGTGACGATTTCACAGAAGGCAAATTGCGATTTATCTGATGATTGCACAAAATACTAGTAGCATACTTGTTTATGTTGGCAGCTCACTTTATGCAATGAAATGCTTTTAGCAATGTTTAAGAATAAAAGTTTGCTTTGTAACCATACCTATCATTCATTAGAAAAAGATTTTAAACATTTTCCTTCAAGGTATGACATTTTAGCAATGCAAGAGGAATCCTACTCTTTTTATTTATGACTAAGTTCCTGATTATGTGCCATGCCATGGAACCTGAGTTTAGTAACCTTTCCTTATCAGTGTGGTTTCTGAAAGATCTTCTGTTAGTTGAAGTTTAAGTAAAATGCGAGTACAAGCAGAAGCTATTGGTGTCCTGTTAAGAAACTCCTTCAGTTAAAGCTGGAAATTGATTTATTCTTTATTTTGACTTATAGAGTGTATTTTCTCAAATGCAAAGAGGCACAGCAGGCGAAGAATGTTGATGAAACAGAAAAGTTAGCACTGAAATTCATCATCTATTTCTGGAAAACACTGTTCCATAAAAGATACGTGGTCACTGGTCACAGCCAACAAGAATTCAAGAAGGAAAAGTCCACTTTAATGAACTTACTTTCCTATTCTTTCAGTACCATATCTCACACTATCCTTCTGGACAAAATGCCCAGCATATATCTGGACAAAAAAAGAGCTGTAATTTGTCTTTCTATTGCATTGTTACCTGTTTTGATTCTTACACTTTTGCTGTTTCTCTTGAAATGCAGGATGAAGTTTGTCCCAAAGCTGATGGAGATTCTGTTCAGCGATGTGTTTGGGCAACAGCTGTAAATGTAAAAGACAAGTTCATTTATGTGACTCAACCTACACTTGACAGAGTGCTTATTGTTGATGTACAGTCTCAGAAAGTTGTACAGGTATTTATTCGTAGTTTTTAAGTTAATGTCGAATTTATATACAAGTTTCTTCATTACATTTTGGAGAAGCAATGCCAATATCTTGGTAGATTTTAAAGAAGTTTGATTGCTTCAGAGCCTGAGCATCAGTAGTCCCATTGAGTTGAAAGAGAACTGATGTTTAGTTGACACTATAGAAATCAACTGTGACCACTGTGCTTTTGCCTTCTCACTTAGTTAAATTCTTTAATGTGTTGTGCATTTTTTTTTATAGCATCAATGCATTATTGGTGATATCAATGTACTATGAGGTTAAACCAGATTTATACTGAATTGCCAAAGATGTGTAAGAATGCCTCTAGCAAGTAATAGCCATAAATCCAGTACATTTTAAAAGATTTCCTGAATGTGAAGAGATTATTTAAAACTCAAAACATTTGTGTTTTGAGGTAAAATCAAACTATTTTTGCTATTTGTTTTCTGCCTACGGTTCTTACCAAGTTACTCTATTTTTTCTTTACATACAATAGACTATTTCACTATATAGTCTTTAGTCTTTCTAATCAAATGGCATCTGTCTGAAAGATTAGTACTCTTTCACTTTCAGTGGCAAAACATAAAGTAAAATAAAATAAATAGGCTTTCAGCTCAGGGCTGTCAACAGTCTTTTGGTGCTTGTTTATTTTTTGTTTCATTTGTTTTTTATTTTGTTTCTTTTTAGTACAGTGCAGGTCATATAAAACTTCTTCAAATGTGCTTAAATAAGAGGACTCTGCTTTTTCTTAATTAAAGTTATTTCCTGTGCAAGGAAGTCTGAAGCTAGTTAATAACTTGTTCTCTGAAAACAAGAACATTTGCATGAGGTTTTCTGACACAGAACTTTTGGCACCGTGTTAAGTCTTCTGATTAAAATTTTAGTCATATAAATGATTACAGATAATCACATCTACAGAACTACTTGCAGTATTATGACATTCATAAGAAACAGATGTTCTTTAGCTAAATATAACAGGGATTTGTATTAGAATTCTAATCTAAATTGTTAATAAAAATACTTAGAGATTTTCTTCATGTCTCTTGCCTTCTTTGTAAATAAATGAATGAAAATCTTTAAAGATTACGTATATATATGCATATATACATAAATATACATACATATATATACATATATATGTATAATATTGTAGTGTAAATTTTTAAAAGAATTTGCAGCAAAGTGTGATTTTAAAATTGAATTAATGTGATAAAAATAAATTTAATGTTTATAATTTTGTACTTCAGACATCAATGTTCATACTTCCTGTCATTTCATTCAGTAGTCTTCATGATAATATTGAGAAAATAAAATCCCAAAACCAACCAAACTATATTACTTTCCACTTTCACACTTTCAAAAATAAAAGAAATTCGATTTCAAAAGATGGGATAGCATTGCTTTAAAACTACTTTTAATATGTCCAGGCATCCACAGAATGTTTGTACCATCTGTGGAACCTTTTATAGAAATGGAATTCTCACTTTTTATGGTTCTAGGATACTCAGATATTAATGAGAAATTCTCTTGTTGTTTTACATGTTAAAAATGCTTAATATGCAGCAGAGCAAAATTTCTGCTATTCATTACTAAACTGAAAATAATTTCCAAGGGTATATTTTCTGAAAGATGTGGGAAATGTATTGTGGGACTTGAATGGTGCTATGCTTAACCTCGCTGATATTTAGAATCAACTTATTTTAAAAAACAATAATAAAATGAATCATTCATGAAAACACAAAACCTGTACAATCTTTTATACATAGAATAACAGCATAAAAAAACTGCTGATTCACAGTTTGCTTTCAGAATCAAAGGAAGCAAATTTGGAATCTGCTGACAAGTCAGCCAAGTAATGCTTTGCTCACCGTTTTTTTATTATATAGCAGGCATGGCCCTGTCTTCCTTTTACTTCAATATTGAATGTTCATTTTTGGTTTTGTTTTCTGTAGGCAGCAAGAATTTTCCTAGGTATTAAATGTTGCGTAGCATATGCACGTACACTAAGGCTAGAGAAGCAAAGAAGAGAATTTAACTTCTCAGATCAGGCTATTTTGATAATATACAGTGCTGCCCCATACTGAAAAAAAAAAAAAAACAACAAAAAAACCCACATCAAAATACAAATTAGTTTTGGAAAATAGATACTAAGCTAATTATAAGTAAGAGAATTTTAGTTACTGGACTCCCATTTTTTTTTTTTTTTTTTTTAATATATGATATAATAGCATAGAGGATACTATACACTATATTTTTTTCTACTGTATCTCTTAAAGAACAAATTGCTTTTCTGTGCAACAACACACTTTCAAAAATATGTTAAAAGCAAACGTGGGGAAAAATTTGTATTTTGGATCAGAGCAGGATGCAATGATAACAATTCCATTAAGTTGCAAAATAAAACAACCCCAAAGACAGCTAAAAGCGTAATTGAACGTGTGGAACTGTGTTCTTTTCTTTATAAAATTGATGTTGATTTGATTTTGATTACTGTGGTTGCTTGTCTGAAGTACTATTATGAGTGCATATGTTACATTTATTCATTTTTACTATAAAAGTTAATGTAAAAGAGGTGTGTATCAGGTGCATATGTATAACACCTAGATTTTAGGGTTCATTGTTTCTCTGATATATAAATATAGCTATCAAAATGAGCGCTTGAAGAAGATCCTAGAGCAGATATTTTACATTGAAATGAATGTTTCCAAACTGTGAATATGAATGGTGCATAGATTTTCTGATCTAGCCAGATACTTTTCTTTCATTTGTAAATTCTTGAAACAGAGGAACCTCTAATTGTGCAGTAGGAAATTAAGTGGGATGATTTCAAGGCGTGCTGATGTAACCAGAGCTCATCACTGTTTAGTACAGTGTGCTGGTGGCAGTTTAGCCTGGATAGCCCAGAACAGCTGTGAAAACATGTCTCCAAAACTCCAAGAATCTTTCTGCTGCCAGCAGGCTCTTAGGAGTTGCATTGTCCATGCTTGACTACACAGGCATTTCTTCTCCTTCAGGGAGTACCATGGCCTAATTCCTGAACACAACTTATGCTCATTCAGCAACGATGCATGGGTCAGACCTTCATTTGAGGAAGCTAAATGGAAATTTGATACACCTCAGCAAATTAACTAGACAGTGGCCCAAGTATTGTTTTAGACAACTTGTCTTCTAACTTGAAGCAGAAAGTGTTACCAAACAAAAATGGCCTTTTCAAGGGGCATCTTTGTTTTTAAATGAGCCAGTGAGCAACCTGGCTTCATTACCACTTTCAAAAGGTAAAGGTAAAAATGGTAGGGTTTTTTTTTTTTGGTTTTTTTTTCCAGATGAATCTGTGGCTTGCGACACCTCAGGAGTACAGTTAAGTATCATCAACAGCCTCAGCCAGCCATTAGAGCATTATCTTGAGGATCTACATCATTACTTTAAATTACCTTCACTTAATTAGCCAGCTGGTATTCTCCTTGACAAACTGATAAACAAGCTGTGCTTTACAGCTCCATAATGGTGAGACTAAAAAGCAATTTCCACTTATTTTTGCTGCCTTAATGATGAAGATAGAACAGTAATCCCTACAGTTGTTTGCCTCATGGAGAATGTCTCTTATTGAAATATTCTGTCCTCACTTTTCGTATCTCTGGAATCTTCAGTGCTTCTCCTAATAAAGAAAGCGTAAACCTTAAATGCCTAAAAAGTCTGTAGTTTTGGATACAAAACTCAAGGATGGAAAACAGCTTGGTACTGATCACTTCTTCCAAAAGTAGAAATTGTAAGGAAAATATTTATGTACTTAATAATATTGCCAACTTGAAGAAAACATATCCAGTTAAAAAGAGTGCAATAACATTGTTTGGGCAGGGCTGTGTAGGAATATCTTGCATTGACTTTACTATGGGGCTTGAGAACAGTCTTCCCTTTTTAGTTGTTTTCCAGTATTTTATAGATTTTAAATTTATATGTATGATATGAGAAAATGTAGGGAAGGAAGGTTAGCATTTTTTGTTTGGATTTAAAACATTTTTTTTTTCAGTTAATAATAACCCCAATATAACATGTTTTTGATGCCAAATTTTATAATGAATAAAATGATGAATAAATGAATAACATAAACATAATGAATACACATGATGAATATTTTTTTTTTTAGAATTATTAGAAAAAAATATTAGAAAAAAAATAAAAAACATAAACATAATGAATAAATATAATGAATAAAAATCACTGCCTCAGCAATTCAGTGACTGAATTAATCAGAGGTCTTTTTCAGCATCTGACAATGTAATTTTTAAGTATAATCTGAACACATCATGATATGCATGTCTAGTCATAATCATCTATTATTTTTCTTTTCAACATGGGATCAAGAGTAAGGAGTTTTCTTTTCATTCTACTCGCAGGCAGTAAGTACGGATCCTGTTCCAGTGAAACTACACTATGATAAGTCACATGATCAAGTCTGGGTGCAGAGCTGGGGAGACATGGAGAAGAATTCACCGACTTTGCAAGTGAGTATATTGATCAGATTGATTATATACTATCAAATCTAAATAAATTGAATATTTATGTAGGTAGGAAAATGTTTTCAGGAAACCGGAAAGAACTGAACTTGCTGGGAAAGTGTTAAGAGATTTTCTACGCTTTTACTTAGAAATGTAAATGCTGATTCGATGGAGGGTAATAGAGTACAGCTGAAAACTAATGGCATGTTTTTCTAGTCTGCCAGTCTTCTGAGAACAGATATGCTGCTTATGATGATTTTGCTCCTAATCAGAGGATACCATGGATTTTAGGCATATATTCATATTTCACTAAGATTATGTTGATGTTCTGGAGTTGACAAGCTAAGAGTTCCAACATAATTTATTGTTAATTGCTTTGAGTTTGGGACTTTTTTTTTAAGATATAAAATAATAAGAATCCTTATTTTTCCCATGCTTTCTCAGCAGCAGCACGCCTAGGGACAGTCACCAAAGAAACATTTCAAGAAGCTGTGCTTCTCTTCTGCTTTTCCTCTCCTTTCTTCTAATTTAAAGTAATCCCATGACAATACAGTGATACTCCTTGTGTTATAATTTCAAAATGACTTTTTGTTTCAACTTATTTTCCTTTTCTTTAGAAGTCAGTGAAGTCCTTATTTGTCTTTTAAATGCATAAGGAATAAGAAAAAAAAATCAACCATAGAGCTCAAACAGAAAAATGAGTAGTGTTTGAAAACGATTTTTTATACTCCTGGTAACTGTAAGTGAGTAAAGTAATCTGTGGGAGTTTGGTTGTCACTCCTCCCCAAAAAAATGACTAATAATTGAATCAGATATATCCTGTTTTAGAGGAAGCATTCATTTTCAGTCTTGTTTTTCCTTGAATGATGCATGATCAACTCCTTTTTTTTTTTAAATCCAGTCTTAAATGCGCAAAAATGAACATCATAGCAGCTATTAATATAAAATTGTCTTTTACTCACCCATAATATTCTACCTCAGATGACATTCAAGATTTGAGAATTCAAAGAAAATTTATTCGTAACAACTCAAGGTATGCATAAACTGCAACCAATTCAATATATTCAATATATGCTATGTTGGATCTCTTTATGCTTGAGAAGACTTAGGATCATACGTAGCCATAGCTTCCTGTAGATCAGCTGATAACATTTCATCTTTTCACTTGGGTGAAGTGCTTAAGAAACATTCCCACTCTAGTGCTGAGTATGAAAAAAGACAAAAATCTTGGTGTGCACTAAAGGCTGCTATAGAATGTAAATGTGGTAGGAAAAAAAAAAAAAGAGGAAAAAAAGTATACATGAAGAATAGATTGTCTAGCATGCAACAATTCTCTGAAATGTGTGATGCTGATCAGCTTTATTCACTGTCATTTGCATTCCTTCTCATGGCTGAAGAATAAAACAGAAGTGGAATAAAGAGGCAATACTCTACAAATCTATTTAGATATAGATTAAACTTTGAAGGAATATTTCTATAGTTTGTAATAATGTTACTTTATGTAGGTGATAACACAAGCCAGTGGGAGTGTTTCTCATCACACAGTCCATACTCAGCCAGTGGGAAAGCAGTTTGACAGAGTGGATGACTTTTTCATTCCTGCTACAACCCTCATCATTACTCATATAAGGTAAGTTTTGGCTAAGTTTTATTTAACTTTGAAATGAACTGTAAGGCTGTCTCCAAAAAAAAAAAACAATCTTGAAAATATTAGACCATGCTCCTTCAGTATTGCTTTGGAAGACCCTTTTTCATATACAATACTAATAGGCTAAATGAAAGCTCTTTAAATTACACGAATAAACACATTTATTGATGTAATCTATTGGTTGGTTTTTGTTTGTTGCTTTTTTTTTCCTTATCTGACCGAAAGTTCTTAAGTCCCTTGCTCTACATACTGAAGTTGAGATGTAATACCATCTGAGGTGTACTTGGGGAATTAATAACCATAACGTTCAGATAGTTCTCTAAGTTAGGAGCATAGATCTTAGTTTGGAAATGATACCAATGTCTTCTACTTCTGAAAGTGTTTGCTTTTGCTATATTGTGTTAAATGCATCTTGTATTCAATTTATTCTTTTGATAATTTCATTTTCATTTGATACGTTTTCTGTAACATTTCTACTGGTTAGAATAGAAAAATTCTGCCATTTGTACATCTGAACCTTGCCTTGATATTCATTATCACTCTGTATGCTTTGGACTGTTAGGTTCTTTGCAATGTGGCACAGACCTATGGCAGTTCGAAAGGCCTCTTCATATAATTAACATTTGCTTATTCCACCCTTTCAAGTTCAACTTTCTATAGAAATACTTCTTGGGATGATCTCACTTTTTCTACAGTTATAAGAAAACAACATGCACATTTAACTAAAATCTCAAGTCACATGTAAATGTGTGTCTCCAACTGTAAAGATACAGTTAGTTATTTCAGTGACTAGTAGTCCTTTAAAAGCAAAAACCTCAAATTTAAGATGGTTCTACATCTGGTTCCAGAATCTAGGAATATTTATCTGTAATTGATCTATTTTTCTGTATCCAGAAAAACATTCTATTTCTCCTAAAGAGGTTGCTGATGAAAAAGAATATTTTTAATTTCCTACAGAACTTAGCTAACAAGGAATTAGCAATCAGCCATGTGCAATTCAGAAAGGAATGTGTAAATTTATATGGCTGAATAGAAAGTGACTTTAAGTGCCATTATTGCCACATTGCTTTAACTGAATAGATAAATTCGTATTGTGTCCTTGAACTAGTCTGCAGCCCCTACTCTTAACCATAGAAAACCCACCCTGCTATATTTGTAGCAGCATGATTTGAGGGAACACAACCTACTGCTTCATAAATTACCAAGTGCTGGGTTGACTAGCTTTCTTACAGTTTAAATTTGATGTTTATTATTATTTCATTGCCCTGGGGAAGACAAAGTTGTGGAGTTTTATCATGAAAGGAACATACAGCTGGTGATTCCTACTTGCGTAGCTCCCTGCAGATTCTTTACCCATCACCATTGACATTTGAGATTTGCATTGACAGTTGAGGCAAGTAGTCATCCACAGTGAAAATCACAGTGTCTCCTTTGGTAACTTCTAAGCTGTGTCCTGTTGGACACTTTTACATAATGTTAAATGAATTTAATTAAAGTTATATTAATGTATGCAAGTCTTTGAGAGTCAAAGACATGACAGCTAGGGAAAAAATGGTCTTGAATTATTAAAAATGATTGTTTTGTTTAATTGTACAATTCTATATGGTACAGGCAAATAAGTTTATGAGATACATGTTCTATCATAATAGTAATATTCTATGTATTCTATCCTAACTATTCTTGATATATACACAATGATATGCAGTATAAAAGGATCAGTAAAACAAAACTGATATTTGGACACATTAATTTTCATGTAATTACGACAGAAATCAGTAGGGGTAAACATTATTTAGGGAAAGGGACCAGGAAAAATAGGCCTAGTCCAAAGACAGTGAAGAAATCATTTTGGCAATCGGTGTTCTGTCTAAGTAGGTCAATTAGTTGCTTTCATCTGTGTGTGGTGAGTCACAGCTACCTTTAGCTGAAGGGTCATGGTGACAGGTTCTGTATCCTCTTAGCTGAGGGGAGGAGTGATAGTATGAGCAATGTCTCCTTTGTTTTAAGATCCAGTCAAACTTTCCTTTCACTGCTGAGATAAGGGCTAAATAGTTTTGGGCAAATACCATTAGAAATCAAGCCAGTTTTTGGCTATAATCTTTTTGCAATAAATAACTGTTGATATATAAAACAAACAACACATAATACTAGTTTTAGTAAAACCAACAAAATTGCCATTAACCTCCCTAATAATGTGTAGACTAACCTACTGATGTTTACAGATAGCAAATTGCTGTTTATTATATTATATAAGTAGAATAGCTTGGCACCCCATGGTATGGCTTTAAAAATATAGATTGCTTAATTCTAGATTAAATATATATATTTTTTTGACCAGGAGCAGTTCATGTGTTGAATCTTAGAGGGTGCTCTGTAGTATTGATGAGGGGCATAAAAATCCTTCTCTTTCTTACAAAACTAATAAAATGCAAACTTTGCTTACAGACCATTTCCCAAAGCTTTTCTTGAATTTCTTATTCCAGCCAGTAATAGTGAGCCAAAAATCTTGGTAAATCAGTGAAGGAGGCTATGGTACAAACCAGTAATGAATAATAATAAGAACACTGAAAGGAGTTTGTTTAGACTGGCTGTTGGAAGCCTGAAGAATTCAAAGGGGAGAAATTTATATTCAAATTTATAATTTGCATTTAAATTTCTTATTTACATTTATAATTTCATTACGTTTGCTTATGTAAACATAGACTATTACAACCTGTCCTACTGTCTTCATCTGCTTTGTTTTGCCTCTGACGTGTGAAATCACAGCCAGTTTATGAAAAATTACACCACAAGAATGAGTGAATATAAAGCTTGGTATTTTTTATGTCCATGTTTTCAAACACAGACTGCTTGAAAAAATTCCCAACTCCCCACTCAGTTGTGTTGAAAAGTAGTCAGATATTGTGGCTGCAAAAGTGGACAGAGCGGAGTCTGTTAATCTGCAGTAGGTGATTCAAGTCCCAAGATCTTTTCTGGGGAATATATATGCAAATCTTATTCCTGCTGTAGGTGAAACGTTTAGAAATTGAGAATACGTATTTTATTTTTTTTCCTATTTTGCCTTATTAGTTTACTGAGAACAAAATTTTAATCAGTGAAGTACTCTTTGTGCCAAAGCAGTTCAATGCAACCAATCATCTTGTCCCTAGTTGGTCTGCTAACACCCATTTCTTACCATAAAAATAGACATTTGCAATTAGTATGTGGGATGGCTGTAGAAAGATGACTTGTACAATACTCATGAAAATATATTATTAGAAGCCTAAGGAGCAAAAGTGCTGATTATTTCAGCTTCACTGTTCATAAATTGAAGTGAACAAAAGATAATTGGAATAAATTAAGGTCTATCATTACACTGCTGTAAAATGTTTCAAAAGCAATATTAAATGAACTCACTGTAATTGAGTCACTCTAACTTTTTAGATGGTTTAATCTTTTAGCAAGTATTTTAAATGCAATACAGTTATCTGAGTTAACAAGTAGAAGAGTGAACAATCAACTCACTGGTGAGATGGCTCAGGATCTGAATATTCTCAGTTTGAATTTTACTCTTATTTCTCTGTTATGTAGGATAATAAGGGAAGCATTCTTTCTAAAATTATACTTATTCATTTGTTCAGCACATTCCAAAAACTAAGCTTTTCTTTAAGAGGTAATTGGAGTATGGTGCCAATGAGAAATTTAAATGCCCTTGTGGGGTGGTCACTCAATACATTCATAAGTTTGGATGGAGAAATTCACATTTAATTCCATAATTTAAGCCTTTACAAAGATGTGAAATAGCTGAAGGACTGTGAGAGAATTTTCAATATTTCTATGAAAGTATGCACAGAAAATATTATTTCAGAAGTCTGGTGTAATCAGAAAGGACTTCCTATTCAAATGTTTCAAAAGTCAAAAACAAAAAACAAAACAAAACAAAAAATGGTAAATGTGAAGTGCACAGAGATTGAATATTTCATGTAGAGAATGTAATTTAGCTCAAAGTTGCAAGATTAATATTTTATAAATTAAATTAAGAAGATGCGATTTTACAGGAATAGAGAGTTTGCAAACTGCTCTTAGTCATTAAGCTATAAATATAGGTACTTCTGCAGGAGTGAAAACTTGAAAGCTTGAGGATTTGGAGAAAGCAGGTTATTAGCAGCAGGGCAATCATCAAAGATGTAGCAATTAACTGCTATGTCTAATGATGACTGCAGAATTATACAGTAAATCCTTCACGGTAGCAATGCACACACACAGGTTTAGGGGCTCCTGCAGTACTATCTCCCATCTCTGTAACCTGTGTCTTTGTGATGGTAGTGTTAAATGGGTAACCTGTAGCCATTCCTTCCCTCTCTGTATTCCCCCGCATAAAGAAGGTCTGTTTTGGTCCTTATGTTTATTCTTTTTGAAGAATAAGCTCCCAGGAACTTCTCAGGAAGAAGGAGATAAGACAGCAAGAACTCTTTTTTCTGCATCCTTCAGCTTTAAATAGTAAATTTTGCAGCATCTTTGTTCTGAAAATATTATGGAGGACATACAGATTGAAAGATTCAGTTCAGAAAGCTCAGCTACTATTGGCAATAGAAAATTCCTTGTTTTACTTTAAATCCTCACTGATATTCCAAATAAATCAATCTATAAGGGTTAATCTAACCTTGAGATGATCTTAAAATAATGGAATTAACAAAGATTTTGTATGTTCACTGATAACTTCCAAAACTCAATTACTTTAAAATTGTCAAACATCATGCCATGTATGCCTGTTATGAAATTTATTTTTCTTCAAAGCAGCCCTTATAATTTTGTATTTTGGCTCGTGTATTTGGAATGGTGAAAATGAATTTGCAAATTTTTATTTGTAGATTCGTAACTTTGAGAATTTAGAAAAAAAAATATTCAGGACATTCTTTTCTATTTGATATTATGATAAATTATATATTTTAATATTTAGTAAAGCTGAGATGCTTATGTATTTATATGAATCAAAGAAAACT